CTACAGAGCCCATGTGCTCTGGAGCCCACGCGCCACAACTAGAGAGAGAAAACCCACATGCCACAACTAGAGGGAGGCCCGCGCGCCGCAACAAAAAGCTTGTGAGCCACGACAAAAGGTCCCCTATGCTGCAACTAAGACCTGACGCAGTCAAAAACAAACGAACAAACAAAAAGCAATATAGGGGAAGTTTCTACAAGCTAAACATAGTCTAACCATATATCCAGCCACCATGCTCCTAGGTATTTACCCTAATGAGTTAAAAACTTGTGCCCACACAAAACCTGTATGTGAATGTTCATAGCAGCTTTATTCATAATTGATAAAAATTGGAAGCAACCGAGATGTCCTTCTGAGGGTAATTACATAAACAAACTGCAGTACATCAGACAGCAGAATATTATTCAGCGATAAAAAGAAGTGAGTTATCAAGCCATGAAATGAAATGGAGGAATTTTAAATGCATATAGTAAGTAAAAGAAACAAGTCCTGGAAAGGGTGCATACTGTATGATTCCAAATACATGACATTCTGGAAAAGGCAAAACTATAACCAGTAAAAACATCCGTGGTAGCGAGCTGGGAGAGAGGTGAACAGGTAGAACACAGAGATCTTTAGGGCAGTGACGATACTCTGTATGACTCTGTAATGGTGGAGCCATGTCATTATACATTCAGCAAAACCCACAGAACTGTACAAGACAAAGAGTGAAACCTACTGCAAGCTACAGATTTTAGTTAATAATAATGTACCAATATCGGTTCATCAATTTTAACAAATGTACCACACCAATGCAAGATGTTAATAAGGGGAAACTGTGGGCAGGGAATAAATGGGAAAATGCCCTAAAAATAAAGCCTGTTAACTTAAGAAGAAGAAGAAGAAAGCAATAGAGGGCATCTCAAAGGCATAGGGAAGGGAAGAGCCCAGCGGAAGGTGCTCGGCTGGGGGTTGTAGTTAACGTGGGACAAAACCAGGTGACCAGCAAGGAGGAAGGGGGAAGGGCCGCACCGCGGCACACAGAGCGCTCGGTGGCCAGGGAGGGGCTGCTGGCCCCACGCTCCTCTTGGGGAGCTCACAGCGAGCCGTTTGCTTGTGTTCTCCACACTCACGCACTCTTCAAGTCTTGGTAACTGGAACATTTCTCTCTCCCGGCTCAGAAATGATCAGTGGAAAAGGAACCAAAACAAGTACCTCATTATGTGTCAAGATTAACCTGGGAAAACTGTGGGCTGTTGACTGAACTGCTTCTCTTAATCGGCTGGTGCTCTAGCTTTAAAAGTTCCCAGGAGACAACCTGAAATCCAGAATCTTCTCAGAACAGAAAAGAGTGGGGGAAATTCTGAATACATCATCAAACAGTAAGAGCCTCAAGCCTTTGGAAAGAGCCCAAAGGCCAAAAGCAAGACCTGTAGAGCTCTGTCCACACTGGTGGGTAACCTGATGATTATCTAACAAATTCAGCATGTGTCTACCAGAGTTCCAGAAGAGTGAGAAACCTTGGGATTCGTCTGAGTTAGAACAACCTTTGATTACAGCTGAGTCACCTCCGTGTTCTTAATACAAGACCTGGGGTCTTTTCACTGTGTCTATTCATGTGATATATGTCGCCCTCCAGTGTGAAATGGAAGGATGCCCTTGTTCTGTGGGGAAGACAACTGTGGAAGAAGGAGCTATGAGTGCGGAGAGAGCCACCTAGAATGCCCCCTCCAAACCCGTCAGCAGAAGGCCTCTTCCTGGGGGCCTCTAAGAGACCCTGAATGCTGCAGAAACCCCAGAGGCTTGGGATCTGGGACCTTCTAGGAACTCAAGATCTCTCTTGCTGAGGTCCTTTCCATCATCACATGGACCAAAGTCTTCACCAAAGCCTTTGTGCTTCTCACTGTCTTCCTTACCAGGAAGCTCCACATGCCAACCAACTATCTCACTGGCTCCCTGGCCAAGACCAATCTTCTTGGCTTTCATCTTGGTCATAGCCATCTGCATCACATATACCATCACCCACACCTGGAACTTTGGCCACATCCTATGTGACATCTGGCTGTCCTTTGGAATCACGTGCTGTGTGCATCTCTGCATCACTGCTGTGGACGGGTACTGGCCATCACCAACATCCTGTAGTACACAAACGCCAGATACGCGGCCTCCACAGTCACCATCGTCTGGGCCATTTCACCTCCATCCTGTCGCTCTTCTCCCAGATCTCCTACATGATCTACTCCACAGATGGTGCCTTCTACATCCTGTCCGTGTGGCTCATCACCTTTCACACGGCCTCCTGAAGCCACCATATCACCACAGCCCAGCTCATCAGAGTTCACTCTACTCCCTCAACCCCCAGTCTCGCACTCAGCCAGCTCCCCTCTGTCAACCACCTGAAAATCAAGCTTTTGCTCATAGAATCCTGGAGCATGAGGATGTCTGCACCTCAAGAAACGAAAGCCGTAATACAAATAATTATAGCTCTCTTGAGAACCTTTAACTGCCTCTAAACTTACTGTGTCTTTTTGTTTATTTTATGTGGATCCAAAAATTAAAGTTATTTCTATTTTATCAGCAAACAATGGTCCAGGAAACACATCACGAACATTGAGTCTAATGATGTTAGTACAGTAACTTCTACAACAAAATAAGCAGGCAGAACATAAAGGCTCTAAGCACTGAAAATGACAGTTCTAGAGGCATTATCTTAAAAGAAGCAGTAATAATCTAAACCAGTTTTGAAAGTAACTGTGCTACCTATTTGATAACTGTTTTAAGACAAATCAAAGTCTATAACATGACAAATTAGTGAGGCAGCTAGTGTACTAAAAAGAGCACAATTACCGGCCCTCTAGAGCCTACTCCACTGGCCTTCCACAGCGAAAGGCAAAGAGACTAGACAAAGCATAATACATGTTATATTTATATGATGTCCTGTAGTGTCACAAAGCTTAAACACATACTACTGTCTAATCCTCCCAACAGGGAAGTTGTTGTCATGGGAAAAGCTGCATTTTGGAATAAGACCAACCTTGTGACAAAACCTGAAGCTACCACTTTTTCAGCTAAACAGATTTGTACAAATTTGAACCTCCCTTATTATGTAATATGTCTGGGACTTTGTTGGTTTGGGGCTTGTTTTTGTTTTGGGGGCAGGAAAGGGGAGCATGCGAGAACGGATACCAAGTTGTAAAAGTGTTTTATTAGTGAGTACTGAAATAACTTAATGGATTGGGACTAACACTTTTCTATTTCCTTTAAGAAATGGGAGAAGATAGTTCAGAGTATATTTTGTGAAAATTCTGTTTTAGCTGTATCTCTAAGCATGTATACCATACGTTGATACAGATTAATGTAAAATATATTTCTTATTATGTGTCATGGCCTAAAAATTTAGCCACTGATTATAACAGAGCAATCAAGATCTAAAATCCACTAGCAGAAAGTTGCAAGGATTAAACAAGATTACAGATATAAAGGGGCTAACGTAAGTGCTGCCACACTATTTTTACAAACTATGATTATTCCAGGATGATGAGGTGTTATTTCTAACTTCAAACCCCTGTTCACAGTTATGAAAAACTTTTTTTAATGTTTATCTAGTTAAAAATAAGATGTGCATTACTTTCAAACCACCTCTGGGTTCTAACCAATGTACTTGTGACTTGGCAAAATCCACCAACATACGAACGCACATCCTTTCACCCAGCAATGCTACTTTAAGTAATTTACCTAGAAATATACTTCACCTATGAATAAACCAAACATGCCCATTTTTAAAATGCAGCGTCATTTTACATAACAGCAGAAACTTTAAGCAGACTGTCCACCAGTGGAAACCTTGTAATAAACCATAGCACATCCGCACAGTGCTGTTGGTAACAATGAAGAAGCCCCGGAAGAAGTTTCAAAATACATTAATGGGAAAAAAAGGAAAGCAAAGGGAAATAAAGGAATGGTAACATCTGTGTTTAGAGAAACATTTTTGCTTTATGTGGATTGTGCATAAAATGTTCATGGAAGAACACAGAAAGAGGTAAACAGAAAAAAACAGAACACGTATCTGCCTGTGTATATGTAAACTGTGCCTGGAAGTGTATACAAGAAACCGGTAAGGGGAAGTGAGCAGTGGGGGGTAAGGTGAGAAGAACATATGTATAAAAATGTAAAACAAAGTAGCATCCACTAACAAGATACTACAGTCACTTATCTAGAGTGATCAAATTTTTATGTTTACTCATTGAAAGCAAATGAAAACCAAATTAATAGAGGACAACTATTGAACATGGTCCTCTGTACACAAAAGAAAAGCTGAATTTGAGGTTTAGCAAAGAGAGTTTTATTCCTGGGCTATTGTTAGAGGTTAAAAATAAACTGGGACAATGTCAAATATTTCTGATCTATCCCCTCAGTGGAGAAGAACAATAAATACCAGTGTCTACTATAACTATTACCTCAAAGGTACCCTTTAATTCAGCTAGAAGGGGGAGGGGAAGACAATTATTAGTACTTTCCTTACTTATTACAGTGTTAGCCTCTTTCCAGTTATGATTAAGGTAAAATAGGAAAGAAAGTCTTCCTTTCCTTGACATTTGTAGATTAGATGTCATTATAGTAGCATGTGTTTCTATTCAAAATTGCAGTCTTGCAAGAATCCCGGCCCACATGCTACACTAATTCATGGCCCTACAGCTGCCGTACGAGACAGAAGATTCGGAGAGGCAGAAGAATGCCCATGCAAATACTCTGGCAATTCACAAGGCACTCTTCAGAGACAGCAGCATGGAAAATACTACTGAAGATACCAAACAGTGTTTACTTCGAAAGTTTAAAAACTGAACATACAGAACAGTTTTTCACAATCTACCTCCTGCAGCAATGGTTTCAATTACGACCTGCAAAAATATAAACAGAGGAATGAGAGAGAAACTCTTGACAGCACTTAGGTACAACTCAGTGGTAGGAATGAGGACGTGGGTCTGATGCGGGGCCCTGGGCTCAGAACACCTGCACCTCACCTTCTTCTGAAGGACATTAACTTTCCGCTCCTTCACATCCAGCATGTCCTTGAGGTCATGGATCTCTCCAGCTTGTGTCCCCTTCTCCTCAGCCATGTCCTGGATTTGTTTTGTCTTCTTATTCAGCATGGTTTCCTTCTCTTCCAAACGCAACCGCAGAGCATCCACCTAATATAACATTTTTACAAATGATTAATTGAAAAGGAACGTAATTCCTTCCAAACAGATGAGTACAGTTGCCTAAATGATACTTTTATAGTAAACTTTCATTAGAATCAAATAAAATACCACTCTAAATACAACTGTGACTATTTAGAAATGAAACCCTAAAATTTTGTGAGCACTTCCATAATAAAATAAAATTTACATCCGTTAACTTAAGGTGTAATCAAAATAAATAGATCTGAATAAAGGGGACAAAATTGGAGAATTTATATGAAGGGGTTGAGCTTTGCTACTTCTATAAAAGTGGTATAATCTATTGTGTTTCTCAAATTTTAGAATCACATGGAGGATTTAAACAGAATGCCAGGCCAAGCCACAAGTTTCTAATTTGGAAGGGTTGGGGCTCAAGAATCAGTATTTCTAACAAGTTCCCAAGTGATGTTACACTACTTTAGAAAATCCAAAATTAGAAAGAAAACCGTAAGTGTCACCAAACATGACACCTGCTGTATCAGAGAATACAATCTAGCTGCAGCTGACAATCCCATAATGCACTTAGAGATCTGTAAGGCAAAGCAAGGTCTACTTTCAGATGTCAAGACTAGTCAGCTAAAGCTTGGTATCCAGGTACCTTTATCACCAAAGTTTAATACCATCCATTAGATATAACTTTAAAATAATCAGAAATCTAATATAAGTACTTATTTTTTCTTCCAGTTTTGAGATATAACTGACATACAGCACTGTGTAAGTTTAAAGTGTACAGCATAATTATTTGACTTCCATGCATCATGAAGTGATTATCACAGTAAGTTTTGTGAACATCCATTGTCTCATACAGATACAAAATTAAAGAAATAGAAACAACCTTTTCCTCATGACGAGAACTCTTAGGATTTTCTCCCTTAATGACTTTCACATACAACACACAGCCGTGCTTATTATCTTTACTCTGTTGTGCACCGCACCCCTAGTACTTGTGTGTGTGTGTGTGTGTGTGTGTGTGTGTGTGTGTGTGTGTGTGTGTGCGCGGTATGCGGGCCTCTCGCTGCTGTGGCCTCTCCCGTCGTCGTGGAGCACAGGCTCCGGATGTGCAGGCTCAGCGGCCACGGCTCACGGGCCCGGCCGCTCCGCGGCACGCGGGATCCTCCCGGACCGGGGCACGAACCCGTGTCCCCTGCATCGGCAGGCGGACTCTCAACCACTGCGCCACCAGGGAAGCCCCCTAGTACTTATTTACCTGATATCTGGACGTTTGTACCTTTTGACTGTCTTCATCCAATCTTCCCTCCCCTGATTCCTCACCTCTGGTAACCACATATCTGGTCTCTTGTTCTGAGTCTGTCTGTTTGTTTTTCAAGTATAACTGACCTACAGCCCTATGTTACTTCCTGAAACACAGCAGTGTAAGTTGATGTTACTATACACCTCAAGAAGTCCATTACAATATGTCACCACACAATAATATTCCACAGTTACTGACTGTATTCCCCACACTGTACATTCCATCCCCTTGACTCATTTATTTTGTAACTGTAAGTCTGTCCCTCTTAATCTCCCTCACCTATTTCTTTCCTCTCCCCATCCTCCTCTCCTCTGGCAACTACCTGTTCTCTATATCTATAATTCTGTTTCAGTTTTGCTATGTTTGTTCATTTGCTTTTTTAGATCCCACATATATGCGAAATCACACAGTATTTGGCTTTCTCTGTCTGGCTTACTTCACTTAGCACAATGTCCTCAAGGCCCATCCATGTTGTCACAAACAGCAGGATTTCCTTCTTTCTCATGGCTGAATAATAATATACACAGACACAGACAACACCTTCTTTATCCATTCATCCACTGATGGACACTTAGGTTGCTTGCATACCTTGGTTCATTCATGCCGTAATGAACATAGGGGTGTATGTATCTCTTATAATTAGTGTTTTTGTTTTCTTCAGATAAATACCCCAGAGTGAACTGCTGGATCATACAGCAGTTCTACTTTTAATTTTTTGAGGAATCTCCATACTGTTTTCCATAGTGGCTCCACCAACTCACATTCCTACCAACAGTGCACAAGGATTCCCTTCTCTCCACAGACCACAGACTCACCAACACTTGTTATTTGTGGTCTTTTGGATAATAGCCACTCTGACAGGTGTGAAGTGATATCTCATTGTAGTTTTGATTTGCATTTCCCTGATGATTAGTGATGTTGAGCATCTTTTCATGTGCCTGTTGGCCATCTGTGTGTCTTCTTTGGAAAAATGTCTACTCAGATCCTCTGCACATTCTTTAATCAAGTTGTTTTTTTTTTATGTTGAACTATATGAGTTCTTTGTATATTCTGGATGTTAACCGCTTACTGAATATATTATCTGCAAATATCTTCTCCAATTCAGTAGGTGGTCTTTTTGTTTGTTAATAGTTTCCTTTGCTATGCAAAAACTTTGTAGTTTGATGTGGTCCCACTTGTTTAGTTTTGCCTGCTTCCCTTGCCTGAGGAGACATATCCAAAGAAAATTACTAAGACCGATGTTGAAGAGGGTACTGCCTATATTTTCTTCTAGAAGTTTTATGGTTTCAGGTCTCACATTTAAGTCTTTAATCCATTTTGGTTTTTCAGTTATTTTTTTTAATTAATTTATTTATTTTTGACTGCGTTGGGTCTTCGTTGCTGCACGTGGGCTTTCTCTAGTTGCGGCGAGCGAGGGCTACTCTTTGTTGTGGTGTGCGGGTTTCTTATTGTGGTAGTTTCTCTCGTCGTGGAGCACGCACTCTAGGCACACAGGCTTCAGCAGTTGTGGCACGTGGGCTCTAGAGCGCAGGCTCAGTAGTTGTGGTACACAGGCTTAGCTGCTCTGTGGCATGTGGGATCTTCCTGGACCAAGGCTCAAACCCGTGTCCCCTGCATTGGCAGGTGGATTCTTAACCACTGTGCCACCAAGAAAGTCCTTTTAATCCATTTTGAACTTGTTTTTGTGCATGGTGTGAGAGAGCAGTCCAGTTTCATTATTTTTCATGTAGCCGCCCAGTTTTCCCAACACCGTTTGTTGAAGAAGCTGTCTTTTCCCCACTGTATATTCTTGGCCCTTTGTCATAGATTAATTGCCCATAGAAATGTGGATGCGTTTCTGGGCTCTCTATTATATGCCATTGATCCAAGTATCCATTTTTGTGCCAGTACCATACTGTTTTGATTACTATGGCTTTATAATATAGTTTGAAATCAGGCAGCATGATACCTCCAGCTTTGTTCTTCTCTCAAGACTGTTTGGCTATTTAGGGCCTTCTGCGTTTCCATACAAACTTTAGAATTATTCTAGTTCTATAAAGAATGCCATTGGCATTTTGTACTTATTTTAAAATCTATTCACAGCAAATTTCATTAAACATACTCACACACCAAATTCTTTTGTTTTTTTGCTTTCCCACTAAGGATTTACAATTCAGCAAATAGTTACACATTTGATTACAGAAAAACAGGGAGGTGGGTTTCTTTCTGTTCAACAAAAATATAACATGAGTCATACATGCAAGCCACTTGTGAAATTTTTAATTTTCTAGCAGCCATATTAAAAAGTGATAAAGGAAGAGGTAATATTAATTTTAATAATATATTTTACTTAATCTAATATATATACACATTATTGTCATTTCAAACCTATAGTCTATATAAAAAACTATTAATAAGCTATTTTACATTTGTTTTGTACTAAGTCTTCAAAGCCCAATGCATACTGTAATTGACACTTGTGTCACATCTCAATTTGGACTTGCCATGTTTCAAGTGCTCAACAGCCACGTGTGGCTGGTGGCTACCACACTGACAGCGCACATCTAAGATAACAAGTATGTTTCTACAAAATATCTTTAATCTTGAACTTGTACTATATTATTTTTCCTGTCTGAATGTAGAATAACCCACAAAGAAAAAATAGGTCAGACTTCCCTGGTGGCACAGTGGTTAAGAATCCGCCTGCCAATGCAGGGGACATGGGCTCGAGCCCTGGTCCAGGAAATTCCCACATGCCGCAGAGCAACTAAGCCCGTGTGCCACAACTACTGAGCCTGCGCTCTAGAGCCTGCAAGCCACAGCTACTGAGCCTGTGTGCCACAACTACTGAAGCCTGTGTGCCTAGAGCCCGTGGTCCGCAACAAGAAGCCACTGCAATAAGAAGCCTGTGCACCACAACAAAGTAGCCCCCGCTCGCCACAACTAGAGAAAGCCCACGTGCAGCAACAAAGACCCAACGCAGCCCAACAATTAATTAATTAATTAATTTAAAAAATAGGTAATATGGGTAATGACTCACAGAGAGAATACCAAAGCATCAGGAAATATTATTATTACATTATATCATAACTGTATTATTACATCAATAACATATTGAAACTATATTATATCAAAACAATAAGGTATCTGAGAACCAGTACTGTATGTTCAGTGGCACTTACTGCTCACTAAGTATTGTGGAAAATTTCCTAGGAGACCAGTCTCATTTGAGACTGATATAGATAAGCCATCATGTACTTACAAATTACGTTGGACCATGCTGGAGAGGAAAAACATGTAAATAAACAACATTTCATTCTGCTAAACTGTATTTCTCTCAACCACTTCAATGCCACCAGTCTCACCAAGCCAGAAATTGGGGAAGCCGTCTTTTCAGGTCCCATTTATACTTCGTCAGCACAAGTTCCACTGCCCCCTCAATAAACATTCTTGCACCTCTAATTTTCCTCTATTCTACTTTAATTAATGATACAGGGTAAACCTTATTACGTTCTGGAAAGGTCCACCTAAGAACTTTCAAACTCTGAAAATCTTATTTCTGAAACACGGTTCTTTCCTTTCTTCTATGCCTACTAAATCTACTCTTTGTCCAAAGTATAACCTCTGATCTATCATCCCTAACTTTTTGTTATTCACCTCCATTCTGGTTTTGTTTTTCTCCCAGCCTGAACAATCATTTCAAATACAGCCTCACATCATCTTTTTTTTTCCAGTCATG